CGGGTCTTCTGCAAGAACAGTCAGTGCTCTTAACCCCAGAGCCATCTCTCTAGCACTGGTGATATGTGTACTTAGGAAGGGAAAAGTGTAAGCACTTGGGAAGATGAGGCAGGAAAATGGAAAAATCAGAGTTCAAGGACAGTCTGGGAGAGAGAGGAGGGATATTATTTGTAGTAACAACGAAAAATGACTAATAGAAACTGAATCTTCTGAATACCTACCTGGGCAGTAGTGAAGTAAATTGTACTTTACCCATAGAATGGAAGACCATGAACAAGTAGATATATTAAGTGAAGAGAGCACAAGTGTTGAACACTGTAGAATGTGTACTTTCATTTGTGTCATGCACACACAAACACGCACATATACATACACACTGCTTGTAAATGCTCAAAATACCTCTGGAAGGGTTAATTAATTTACAACTCTTCTTGATATTTTTGGTCAGGGTCTCATAACCCAGATTGGTTTCCAACTCACTATACAGTTGAGGCTGGACCTGACTTCCTAATCTTCCATGCTCCCACCTCCCAAGTGCTGGTATTATAGATTTGTGCCACTACACTAAGCTTTGTAAACTTTGTGTGTGTCTGTTTGGTGTGCATTTACACAGGTGTGCACACCCATGTGTGTACATATGGAGGCCAGAGGTCCATGTCAGGTGTCTTCCTATATAGGTGTCACTCTATATCTTATTTCTTAAAACTTTATTATTATTGTCTGGGTATATGGTATGTGTGTGTGAGAGAGAGGTCAAGGACAACTTTGTGAAGTGGGGTCTCACCATCTCCCTTTATCTGGGTTTCAGGGACCAAACCCAGGTTGTCAGATTTGTGCAGCAAGAACCTTCACCTGCTGAGCCATCTCTCTGGCCCTCTGCCTTCTTTTTCTAAAAAATTATTTTTTATTTTATGTGTCTGAATGTATTGCCGGCATGTGTATAAGTGCACCTGTGTTGTGCAATGCCCATGGAGGTCAGAAGAGGGTGTCAGCTCCCCTGAAACTGGAGTTAGGGATGGTTGTTAGCTGCTATGTAGGTGCTGGGAATTGAACCCAGGTCCTCTGCAAGAGCAGCTGGTGTTCTTAACCACTAAGCTTCTCTCTAGCCTCATCCTTCACCTTATTTATTGAGACAGGATCTCCAATTGGCTAGGCTGGCTGACTAGCAAGCCCCAGGGATCCTCCTGTCTGTCTCCTAGCACTGGAATTATAGGTACTCAGTGCCATGCCCAACTTTTTATATAGATGCTAGGAATCTGAATTCAGGTCCTTATGCTTACACAGCAAGTAATTTACCCATGGCATCACCCTCTTCAGCCCTCTTTTTTCTTTTTCTTTTCTTTTTTTTTTTTTTTTTTTTTTTTTTTATGGGGCTTTTGGGTACACTAACATTCCCCCCTCTGAAGAGGTAATCTTTTGAGACAGGGCTTTGCTATATAGCCCAGGCTGTCTTGATCTTGATTGAACTCACAATCCTCCTGCCTCAGCCTTCCAAATGTTGGGGTTACAGACACATATCACCATTTTGGGTTCCCATCTCACCTTTTCCTTTCTTTTCTTGCGGTACTAGGGATTGAACCTAGGACTTTGCACATGCTAGGCAGGCACTCTATCACTGAGCTGTATTTGTAGCCCACCTCTTTTTCTAAAGATACACTTACTGAATAATGAGTTCTGAGTGTCCCCAGTGACTGCACATCCTTTCATCAGTGACTATGAAGTGATAACAGTCTGGAAATGTTACGCTGGCTGACTCCATCCATCACCACCGAAGCCTCTGTCTTGACTGCCATACCACCTATTATCAGAAGGGGGCAGCACAGACTCATCAAAACATTGGTACCAACCTTGACAACCAAGCCTTCCCTATAGAATTTTCTCCATTGTGAACCATGATTTAGAAAGACACATCTTGCCAAGCCAACCAAATGTAATAGGCAATAACTGATTACATCTCTTTCTCTTTTTTTTTTGTAACTCACATTTCTGGTCAGCAGTAGAGATCATGTAGGCTTGTTGAAATGGTAATTTTCCACACAGAGATCTAGCCTTATAACTTCCACCAGATTTTGGGTGGGAGGTGGTTGGCAGTAGCTTCAGGATTGAGGACACAGGCTGGCATTGACTATATTAAAGTCTCCCTGTGGGCACCAATTTTTGGCCCTAGGGTACCAGCCTCTCAGTGTCCCTCAAAAAGTAGTGATGGGCAAGAAAAAAATATGAACACTGGTACCACAAGCAGCTTCAAAGCAGCCACTGTCTCAGAGTGTTGTGATGAGTCTGTCCCTAGCTAGATTGAGAGCAGTCCAAGGATCTTTCCTCAAAGATCACAGAAGCCCCAGGACTGAGCACAGCGCTGGGCACACAGCTGGTTCGAATGAAAAGTTTATTGATGAATTGAAAGCAACAGCTATGGAAGAATCTGGAAGCAAATTCTTTTAAAAAACAAATGAAAACAACTCCCAGATAATTATTTCAAGGACAAGGCCCAAGGGCAAGGCTAAGGAAGATGGCAGTGGGTGCAGAATGGATCACCTTCCCAGCAGGGCCTATGAGATGCCTGTCTTGACCTTGGAGGTTCCTGATCAGGACATGAAGTAGGGGCTGTTTTTCTCCCCACAGAGATGCTGGTGACCTTGGCAGGAGGAAAGCTTAAATCAGGTCGGCCTGGGGGAAGGGGCTGGTTCATGCCTGTTTCTCCTCATGATTAGATAATTAATTTTCCAGTTCCTGTTTAAGCGCTTGTCAGTGGCTCTGAATATGAGGATGGAAAGAGCAGGGATCTGTCAGAGCCGGGATCGCATATGGCCCCCAGGTCTGGCACAGAGAAAGTCCAGGGCTTACTCAGTGCGGGGTATCCTGCCCCATGCCTTGGTAGTGCAGGGAGAAGTGAATTTGGGGTTTCCACAATTTAAGTAGGCAATCAGAGGAGCAAATTCAGGCTGGAGATTGAGCCCCAGCTGTGAGAGTCTACCCCTGCCCCTTACCCTTCTACCCTAGATAAGAGGAGTGGGAGACCAAATAGCAACTTCCAAGACAGTATAGATTTTGGACATGGACAGAGAGACCAGTTTGTGCTGTATAATTATTGGCCATGTGGCCTTGGACAAGTCACTTAACTACTCTGAGCCTAGTTTTCTCATCTCTGAGGACATCCATACCTACCTTTGCTGGTCACTGTCAGGATGAATGAAAAAAAGAGTTTGGATGTTTTTCTGTAACTAGCACACATCCGAGATTGTTATTTTTCAAGGAGAGAGGTCAGCCTAGGTCCCTGGTGGTGAAAACATCAAGATCTTCGTGCCCTCTGCAGTGCCCGTTCCTTCCCCACCCTAGCAGCTGTCTTTAATTCTTCTTAATGTCCTGTTTCTCCTCAGCACCACCACTATGGTCCCCAGCTTCTTCAACCTTCTTTTTCCATGGGTGCCCCCAATCTAAAGCCACTGGGGATGCTGGCATAGGCACAGTTGGTCAGAGTGGGACAAATCTCGGCTGACCTGAGTTCATGTCCCCCAACCTGTTTGGGAGTTCCTGTTTGCAGATGGTTCCCTTTGGTCCTCAATTCATCTCTGGGCTCAAGAGAGGAGAATCACAGAGGTGGGGTGCCTGGAAGGGGGTTCCCACCTTCTTAGTCGGGTACCCGAGAGCGGGACCCCTGCCTTAGGTCTCCAAGCCTTGCTTGGATTTGTCAGTCTTCCGCTCGAGGTTGGGGGTGGGGTCTACCTCCTACAGGCCCAGGCGGAGACCCCATTTTCCTGGCTCCTGGAGAGCAGAGAGCGCTGCGGTTCTAGGACCCGGAGGCGCCAGTGAGCGCGCAGCCGCCGCCGCCGCCGCCTCCTCCGCCTCGCCCGGGTCCTGGAGCAGGTGGAGCGGCCGCCCCCTCCGCGGCAGGTGCAGCGCTCGGCAGCCCCCGGCCGACGCGCGATGGCTGCAGAGGACCCTCGGCCGGCGCCGGCGTCCGCCCCTCCCTGCAGCCCGCCCCCCTGGGGCTGGGTGCGCAGCGGCGAACTGCGGTTTGCGCGCACGGGGAGCGGCAGCAGAAGTTCGAAAATCGCCAAGGGGGGAGCCCGCGCCGCAGCTTCCTGCCCCCAGCCCAGCCCTCTGGCCCAGGCCGCCTGCAGCCTGACTTCCTCCCTCCTCCCTGAGCTCGCCGCTAGCTCCTCGGACGGGGCCGCCCCGATGGGACGCCGCGCCCCGGTCCCTGCGCGCCGCTGAGCAGTGCGCCACCGAGCCCAGTCCCGCCGCCTGCCTCCAGCCGCTCCGCCTCGCTCCCGGGGTCGCGAGCCTGGTCCTCGATCCCCCCCGGGAAAGCTGGATCTCCGAGGCTGGAGGCGCCTGGCCGGCTGGGTGGGAACTACCATGGGTAACGCGGCCGGCAGCGCCGAGCAGCCCGCGGGCCCCACCGCGTCGCCCCCGAAGCAGCCCGCCACTCCCAAGCAGCCGATGCCCGCGGCCGGGGAACTGGAGGAGAGATTCACCCGGGTCCTGGTGAGTGTGATCCGGTGCGCACCGGGAACGGGAGGGGGGCGACAGGGGCTCCTCATGCGTCTCCGCCTCCCAGAGCTCAGGTGCCGCTTGGAGATCCCCGGCCCACCAGCTGCCCCTCCAGGGAGTGGGAGTGATAGTGGCTTCTTACAGAGTGACTTAGCGGTCTCCCCCCAAAACTTTCTTCTGCCACCGACAGTCAGCCTCCCTAAGATACCCCCCCACCCCCCACACCACGCTCCTAGGTCTAAAGGTATCAAACAAAAATGTCCCGTGAGGATAGGTGCAGAGCGCGCGGAGGGGAGGGTGGCGCCCGGGTGTCCCCTGGACACACAGGCCCAGCCGCTGGGTGCGGGTCTGCAGCACCTGCCCTTGGGCGCCTCAGGGTCAAAGATGGAAGGGGTAACAATTTAACCTCCTGGAAGCTGTAGACCTGGTGGAGTCTTTGGTCCTGGCTTGTTCCAATGTCTGGGCTGGAAGTTGGACTCTCAGATCGTGTAGAAGGGTTATCTGTGTTCCCACGCCCCAATTCCCCAGGAGAAGGTGCCTGCAATCCCTCATCATGGTCAACCCCTACAAACCACTGAAGGGAGTAAGATTAGAAAGGGTGGGGTCAGGGTGGATTGGTCACTCTGGCTTAGGGTGGAGCAAAAGTCGGGAAGGCCTCCCTCCCCCACTGTCACCTGCCGGGGAAATTGGGGGGCCTATGTCGGGGGTTAGGGGGGAGAGCTGGAGTCTAGTTTTCTGGGGAGGGAGCCATCTGAGCCTGGGGCAGTTAAAGTGTGTCTAGTGGGGTGGGTGCTCCAGTGAAGTCAAGGGTCTCTCAGAGGGTGGGAGACAGAAGTAGGGAAAGGGAAGGGCCACTCATTCTCACTTCCCCCTGTCTACCTCAGCCCTCTTTTCTTGCTCCCCTCTAAGTGGTTGCCTGGTGGCCTGGCTGCTGTCAGCCATCCCTTGCTAGACACTGGGTGACAGGCATTAAGGCTAGACTGTTTCCTAGAGACACTTCCCAGTCTGAGCAGGCTGGTGTTGCAAATCTGAGGGTGGAGAGTCCATGAGAAGCTGGCTCTGGAAGCAAAGAGGTGCCGAGTCTATCCCCTGCACCTCCTAGACATCATTTCCCCTCCCTGGCTGGCCAGTCATTAGGCCTTACTAGATTCTCTGCCTGGCCTCACAGAGGTGCCTGCTGACAGTTCCTGAGAATCCTAACTGCTGTCCCCTAAAAGGGAAGGAGGAGAGCCCAGAGAACCTCTGAGATGGGGTGTGGAGTCTGCCCTTGTAAAGTCACCTCTGCTTGATGAGGGGAGAAAGGACTCTGAGGGACATCTTACACTAGGCTAGCCTCTGACTTCCCTATCTCTCCATCTTCCTCTAATTCTCTTCCCCAAATCCAGACCTCAGTAAAGCTCAGCTTAGCTGAGTAGATGGGGGAGGGGGAATTTGAGGAGCCTGAGTTGGTGGTGGGTCCTGCCCCCGAATAGGGGGCCTGTGAATCTGCCTTTCCCCTCATGTGTGTGTCTATGGATAGGGGTAGGACAGGCTTTGGGGGCAAGGTCTGGGCCCCAGTTCTGTTCTGTTCTGTGCACTAATGGAGAGGAGAGCCCTGTGAATAATTCAGACCAATGAAATTCTAAAAGTCAAGTGGAGATGGTCTGATGCAATTGTGGGACTTGATAGTCCTGGGTAGATTTGTGGCTCTAATGACTGACTGGGAGTCCCTGAGTACCAGGGCATGGGAGGGGGTAGGGACCTGGAGATGGATCTTCCAGGGTGTCTTGGTGGCTGGGTAGAAATCCAGGGCAGCAGCATTCATGGGGGTCCCCATGTCTTTCAGGTCCCCTGGAACCCAGTGTGTTTATACCTTCCTAGGGAGGCTTCTGCCCATCCCACCTCATCTGTGGGCAGATTGAACCTAACCTCACGTCACATGCTTAAGAACCATCTCTCCATGTTCCACACTATCTGGGGCATGCACCCCACCTTGGGGTGATAGCCTTGACCTCTACCTGAGGCTGCCCAGGGCAAAAGATCTACTTAACCCACAGGTCTAACAGTGGGTGTGGCTCCATGTGACCCCTACCTCTGGAGCTAGTGCTGAGCCTTCAGTTGATGTCTAACAGGAAAAGAATCTGAGGTTGTTGTGGAGGCCCCACTCTATGGATCCCCAAGTGTTCACAGGAGAGCACACTTCTGTCTTTGGAGTCCAGTCACATGGCCCCAGGGAACCTCTTCCCATCACTTCAGTTTAGCCCTTTCATCCTGGGCAGGGACCAGGATCCCAATACAACACCTCCAGACTCTTCTTCTCTTTGCCATGGGACTTCTCTTGTGGGCTTGGGGGTAATGTCACTAAAACCCCCTCCTCCCCAGCCAGGTAGGGATGGTAGAGAGCTATTTTCCCATTTAAGGGTGAATGGTGGGGCACTACCTTCCCAAGGGGGCTGTGAAGAGGGGAGTGCCCTGCTTAAAATGGGGATGAGGAGAAAGAGCAGGTTGAGCCAGCATTTCTGGCTGTTGCCTTAGCAACTTCAGAGGAGCAATGGCTGCCCAGCTACATGGGCCTGCTGTGATAATGGGAACACTAGCCAGCCAGGCTCTGCACTCTTATCTCTCCTACACCTGTGCCCAAGGCTGGGTGTCTTCCAGCACCTTCCTGCCTTCCCTGAGAGGCATGCAGAGTGAGGGATTGGGATAGCAAGGTACCCAGTTCAGGATTGCTGTGAGTGCTGTGTGTACAGCTAGCCACAGGACACCTGTGATCTTTCTGGGCAGAATGGATCCTGTGGACTTGGGGCAAAGGAATAAGGGAAGGTGCTTGGCGATGTCTGTGTGAGGCTGAATGATAGTTCATCCAGGAGAGGCTTGTGGCACCAGGAGAGGAGTTTGCTGGGTGATGCCCTAGTTCCCCAAGGTGTTCCTATTTGTACCCTGGACATGGAAACTTTGCTAGGGAGTATGGGGCAATCAGGACAGCTCTAGGCAGAGTATGGGCTCTTGAAGTCCATTCGTTATCATTTCCCCCTCCCCCCATTTTGGTGGTGAAGAGTAGGTTGGATGTTTCCACTCAGCTGGTCAGTGACAGAGGTGTGGATGGAGTGGATGGAGTTAAGGCATAGAGCTAGCTGTGGGGTCGCTTGAGCCCTGGGCCTCCTACCACTGGACTGTCTCTGCAGTGGATCTCACTGGGGTGTGGCCTTGTAGTCAGATGTTTGGTTGAGCAGAGGGCATGGGTGACATTCCTAGTAGGCAGGTCTGGCACATGCTGACCTAGAAATGTAGGATTGTGGTGGGCATGATTCACAATGGCATCTGGGGTTGGTTGGCAGAAGGCTGGATGAGACGAACAGGAGCAGGTGGGGTTGCCCTTGGAGCCACCTCTATGTTTTTCTTGGCTATACAGAATTCTGGAAGGTGACTTGGGTCTCCCTGACTTTGAAGGGCTAGCTGTTGTTCAGGAGCAAGGCAGGGGAAATTCCTGGGTTTAGGGACTATGCTGTGTGGTGGTTGAGTTTCATTTTTATCACTTATTACGTGTATGACCTTGGGCAATTCATCTCTCTGAGCTTCAGTTTTCCTTATAGGTAAAAAGGGAATAGGGTGAGTTGTAACCTCCTAGGATTATTGAGGTGAAGGTTTAAGTAGAGGGCTTAGTATGGTGCCTGGTGTGGAACAAGTGTCAGTAAATACTTTCTACTGTGGGCAAGTAGAGCTGACTTGGGCCTCTGCATAATGGAACCCTTCTTCCCTCCTCTACCAGGAATACCTTAGGTTGTTATGCATTTAGCTACCTCAGACCAGGCAGCTTCCTTAGCACTGCACAGGTCAGAAGCTTGAGGCCTTGACTGAAAACTGCCTGGTGGCCGGAAACCACGAGAGGGAGGGCCCAGCTCTCCTGAAGGGTGGGGTAGCATGGTGCTAACGGTAGTGGCAGCGGTGTGCACATGAGGAGGTGTGGGAGGCCTCCACTTCCCCACAGAGTGTGCTGGAAGAGGGGGGGGTTCCCCAGTGAGTAAGAACTCAGTGTGGGTAACAACAGGAAGTGTAGGGTGCTGGGTGGCAGGAAGCCACTCTGGCTGTTCCTGGTTTCTCAGATGGGGGGACTTGGGCTGGGGTTGCAGAAGACCCCGCGGCAGCCAGGACCCCAGTGTCCATTTTTTCCTGGAAAAACTGAGTCTTTTTAACCAGCTTGTCAGCTAGTTCTCCTTGGGCAAGTGACTTAATACCTCCATGCCTCAGTTTCCCATTTGTGAAATTGGGGGTATAATAGTAGCTACTTTGCTTATTGTTGAGGCTTAAATGAGTTAATAATAGATGTACAGCAATTATATTGGCACCAAGCCCAGAGAAGTGCTTAGTGAGTATTTATTAGTATTGTTGTTATTCTCTTGCCTGCGTGGATTCTATGGGCAAGGCCTGGTGTCCTGGCTCCTGCCCTTCTTCACCTTGTCCCTGCTGTGGGGACTCTGGAGCTCAGATAAGAGAATGGAGGTTGGGTCACTCCACAGCCTTCTTTAATCCTGGAATTGCTTGTTAAGAGCTCCAGAGAGTCTGTATCTGGAGATTTTAAGAAGTAGATGTAATTGATTGTTTCTGCATATGTGCTGACAGCTTGAAAGCCAAGGTTGAGACCACACAGAAATCAGGGAGGAATGGGACCTGGAGGTGGGCCTGGTGTTTGGACCCTCATGCTGAGAGACTGTGTGAGGCTGGCCTGACATTGGCTATTGAGGGGCAGGGCTGTGAGGAAGGGGTAGGCTGGTGGGATGGGGCCTAGAGTCTGTGCAAATTGAAAGTGAAACTCTCGGGTGTGGCTGTGTCCAGATGTGGCTGGAGCCCTCAGTCTCCTGGGACAGTGTCTCAGAAGTCAACAAGGCAAGCAGTGTCAGGAGTGAAGTCTTGTCCTGTGAGCCTGCAGGGGCTGGGCCTGGATGAGTAGAAACTGGAGTCTCTTTCTAGAGCCCAAGAAGGTCAAGGAGGAAAGAGAGTCCCCACACATTCTAAAAGGAAGATGAAATCAGTTCCTTTTCTTATTCTTTTGTTTGTTTATTTGAATTTTTTTATTTACTTTTATTTTATGTGTATGAGTATTTTACTTACATGTCAATCAATGCACATCCGTGTTGTGCAATGCCTGTGGAGGCCAGAAGAGGGTGTCAGATTCCCTGGAACTAGAGTTAAGGACAGTTGTTAGTTGCCATATAGGTGGGAACTGAACTTAGTTCCCCTGTAAGAGTAACCAGTGCTCACTGGGCATGGTGGCACACAACTTTAATCCCAGCACTTGGGAGGCAGAGGCAGGGGGGATCTCTGTGAGTTCAGGGCCAGCCTGGTGTCCATAGGGAATCCAGGTCAGCTGGGGCTACAGGGAGACCCTGTCTCAAAAAAAGATAAAAAAAAAGACCCCCCCCCAAAAGAGTAACCAGTGTTCTTAACTGCTGGGACATCTCTCTAGCCCTTATTTATTTATTTATTTATTTATTTATTTATTTATTTATATATTTATCAGAGTGTGAGTCCACCTCTGAAACTGGAACATGACACTAGTACACAAAAACATATACATATGTAAAGAAACTAAAAGAGGAGATGGGAAAAAAAATCTAGACTTCCATGTACTAAAACCTTATTGGTCTTTTTTGAGACAGAGTCTCCCTGTAGCCCCAGCTGACCTGGAACTCACTATGTAGATCAGGCTGGCCTTGAACTCACAAAGATCCGCCCGCCTCTGCCTCCCAAGTGCTGGAATCAAAGGTGTTCACCACCATGCTCAGCTCCTATTTATTTATTTTTATACAAGGTTTCACTATGCAGTCTAGGCTAGCCTATATGTTGCCCAAGCTGGCCTCAAACTTCCAGCGATCTTCCTGCATATGCCTCCTGAATGTTGTTGGGCTTTTGGTCATGTACCAGGATTGGCCATTATCAGCTTCTTTGACTGGCCACATCCTATCCAATTACTCCAATTACTCTGCTTCCTTACCTGACCCAAAGCACAAAGACAGGGAAAGGGGCAGTTTAGGTTTGGCCAAGCTTTGGAACCATCTGCTATTTACATGTTTGCACAAACTTCTGCTCACTCTACCTTGCCCCCTCCCTGCCTTGAAGTCTTCTGTGGAGCCTTCCTGTGCCTCAACATCTATGAGATGCTTCTTAGTGTTGGATCACCAGAGACTATTACTACATTAAAGCTCAGCTTCTTTTTTAAAATTTCTATCTATATATTTATTTTATATGTATGAGCATTTTGCCTGCATGCATGTAAGTGCACCGGTGCCATGCACCCATGCTATGCAGTGCCTATGGAAGCCAGAAGAGGGCATTAGTAGGGACAGTTGTTAGCTACCATGTGGGTGCTGGGAACTGAACCCAGGTCCTCTGCAAGGGCAGCCAGTGCTCTTAACCACTGAGCCATCTCTCCAGCCCCCAAACTCAGCTTCGTGAGTGTTTCCATGTACTCTGTGAGTGGGAAGCAGGTGGACCTGTGGCCCATTTGATGGAGGAGGAAGCTGAGGCTGACAGAGGCAGAAAAGCTGTTAGGCTAGATGGGTCCAGAGCCTGGGTCTTTTGAGCTCAGCTTCAGTTCCTCTGCATTACAGTTGCTCTTCCCCATCCTCTCAGGAGACCGTGAACCCCTCACACATGCAGACTGTCTTTCCTTTCCTGCCCCATTTGAGCAATGTCAATCAGCCTTTTGTTGGCCCCCAGCTCCTGGTTCATGGTGATGCCTCCTTGGTGATGGCCCTGATGTGGGGCTTAGCTCCTGTTTTCAGGGTGGCCTTCCCTCACCCTGAGTGAGTGGCATTTGCTGGGCTCTCTCCTCCCTGGATGCCCGTTTCCTTGGTGGGCACAGCCACAGCTGGGGAGAGCGACTGCTAATGAGTGCTCAGTGCTGTCAGAGCTATTTCTGATTTCTAAGCCTAAATTTAGCTTGTCTGGCAGGCTGGCACGTGGGCCTGGGGCCTGAGGAGTCCCAGGTGGGGAAGGGGCAAGGGGTACCCTGCCTTCTGCTACTGTTGGGCCAGGTACACCAAGGCCCTGCACAGAGGTTGTCTACTAACCCTTGGGATGGTCCTGGGGCCATGGACTAGGGCTGTGGCTCAAAGCTAGTCAGCCCCCCCCCCCACTGACTTTGTAGGTAACCTTGGGAAGGACACTGAACTAATTTGTGCCTCTCCCTGTGGGTGGGAGGTGGTAAGGGGGAGGTGGTTGGCAGTGTGAGTACTCTGAGCACAGAATTTAGGTGAAGCTGGCCACTTACTCAGACTGTTGGGGTCATGACTGTAATTAGAAGTACCCCTGAGTCATTCTAGAATCAAACAGGTTGCCCCATATTAGGAAGACTGTCCCCTGTAAGGCTCAGATGCTGGGGTTCAGAATCTGCTCATCTCTGTGCTGGCCCCAGCTCCAGGGTCCTGGCAAGGCCTGGTATCCCCACTTCCTCTTTCCCCTAGCCTTGCTGTACCTCAGCCCCTGCCTGCTCTTGGTCTCTGTGGGGTGGGGATGGATCAGACAGATAGAGGGGAAAAATGGTTTCACAGACTCCCTGTAATGGTGTAGGCCCAACCCAAAGCCCCAAGACTCCTTCGGGGCAGACTCTTCCGTGCAGCAAGAGCTGGCCTAGTGCATCGTCCAGGCTCAACTTTCACAACAGGGTCAGGGATGACGTACCCTAGTCCCCAGCTGGCACTGTAGTCTGGTGGGTGGGCAGTTTCACCTCCCACAGGAGGCCCCAGCCGGAAAGCTTAGGCAATGGGGGCCAAGAACACCAGCTTCCTGTTCTCTGAGGATGACTCAAGGCAGTGATTTTGGGGTGAGGTCTGGGCAGAGCCCCAGACCTAAGCCTAGCACCCAAGAGAGGAAGCTGGCTGAGGAGCCTTGGGTGGGTGTGGTTGTCTCTGCTCCAACTATGGCCTCTCCTTAGAGCCAGAGTCAGAGGGTGTGAAGTGGTGACAGGAGCCCTCCAAACTCTGGGTTTGGGCTCCGAAGGGGTTCCTACATCCCCAGTGGATAGCCCAGCTAAAATGGGAACTCCATGGTGGCAAGAACTGGCTTTTGGGGGCAGTCATTAAACCCTGGGTTGGGGTAAACTAATCTTGTCTTCTGGGTCTATTAGGGAGACTTGCTGAGCCGTGGGGTCTGGGGAACCCCTGGTCTGATGATACCTGCTTGAATCCACAGACCAGGCTGAGCTGTACATCTACCCTGTGGTAATAGGGACATGTGGCCAGGGGAAGAGGACCCAGGCAAAGCACTGCTGACCCATCTTAGGTCCTACTGTGGGGAGTCCCTGCCTGGGCCACCAATACCACAGGCCCAGTAGCTGCCTATTCTGTGGCTGGATGACCTTTGTCCTTCAAATCCCCCCACCTCTGCAGCTGTGACATACCTGTCTGGAACTCCCTGTTGGCTGACGCACTGCCCTCAGCACCCTTGGTCTGAGACATTGGTGCCCTGAGCCTAGTCTGTGCACATATGGTGTTTGGTGATAGGGGAATGGGGCACTGACTACTGGTCCCAGCTAGCCCTGGCTAGAGATGGCTCCTCTGTTCTCTTCTCACCTGGATGGGGTGGAGATGGTGTTTCCTTATCTCAGATGAAAAAAACAAAAAATAACAAACCAAAAACTGGAGCCTAGAGGTGTTAGAGATCCCCTGGGCGCGCGCACACACACACACACACACACACACACACACACACGCACGCACGCACGCACGCACGCACGCACGCACGCACGCCTCATGCCAGGTGTGCCAGGAAGGTTGATGTGGAAGGTAGCAGAGCCCAGTGAGACTTGGATTCAGACCCTAAGTACTTGTCTAGATGTTGGGTCCTGAGGAAGATGGTCCACCCCTCTTGCTGGACAACACTGCTTATCTCCAAGGGTGAGAAGATGACCTGGCTTTGAGGGAGTATCTTGGGTTCCCTGAAGAGGCCCCTCTTCCCTTCTCCATTGTGTTGGGGCCCTGAGCTCAGAGGTCTTTGTCTTCTACTTCCCTAGAACTGCATGAACTTGCCCCCAGACAAGGTCCAGCTGCTCAGCCAGTATGACAACGAGAAGAAGTGGGAGCTCATCTGTGACCAGGTGGGTGTTGGGAAGGTCAGACACCTTGCCTTTGCTATTGGGGCACCCTACCCTAAAGAGGCAGGGGCTGGCAGGAGAAGGGCCTGCCATGCTGTCCATGGGGGTCACATCTAGGGGGGTGCTGGGAGTCCTGAGGAACTCTGATTCCCCCTGCCCAAAGACATAAGCCTCCCCCAGAAACTGGCAGTGGCTGCCCTCTTTGCTCTGCAGTGCTAGGGACTAAACCTAGGGCCTTGTGCATGCTAAAAGCATTTTATCACTCAACTACATCTACAACATTTAGTTTTTTTTTTTTTTTAACAGTCTTGCTATTCAGCTCAGGCTGGCCTCAAACTCAGGTTCCTTGTGCCTTAGCCTCCAGAGTGCTGGGAATACAGATGTGGGTCACCTTGCCCAGTGGCTGAGATTTGCTGAGTCTCCCTGGGCTGGAGTAGCTCTTTGTTGGCATCTTCATTAGCCAAATGAGGAGGCAGAAGGAGTAGGCACCTCTGTCCTTTTCTTCTGGGGTCAGAAGAGACACAGTCAAGCAGTCAGTCCCTGAGGCAGGTCAGGTCAGACTGCTGTATAAGAGCTTGGTCTAGGCCCTGGGTTCACTGAGGTGCCCCATCCTTCCAGCTTCTGGAGACATACCCTTTCTCAGTGCAGGGGTGGGTGGGGTGGAGCCTGGTTGCTGCAGGATAATTGAGAGCAAGCAGGAGCTGCTTTCAAGCTGAGGCCTGGAGGCTGTTGGAGGTGGGGTGTAGGGGAGTCAGGCAAAGCCTCCCCTGAGACCCAGCAAAACCTTCTGCTAATGGACTGGGATGGGACATACCATTTGGGCATCCATCTCAGCAACTCTGGGCCATGGCAGAAGTGGGAGTGTTTAGAAGCTGGAGAGTAGAAGGTGGAAGAGGATGCTGGGCATATCTGAGGGCTCTGGTCTGGGAAGGATGGGAGTCCCTGGGTGTGTGTGTCTTTCTGCTGTGGCCTCTACCTTTGTGTGAGGCACTGGGTAGTGGAGATAGGACTGCTTTGTGGAACACAGAAATGAGTACACAGGGGTACTTACCTACATGGGGGAATAAGACAACCATCCTAGAGATGGGCCCTACCTGAACCCCGTACTCTAGTCCAGGAAGAGAAGGACAGGTCTGTCTGAGTCTCTGAGTCGTGTTGTGTCGTCCCCCTTGCCCCCCTCCCCGCCCAGGGAAGGTCCTGTAGCAAGACTGGCCTGTATTCCACTGGCCTCCAGAGGGTCAGGCAGGTTTGGGTCTGAGGTGTCTCACGTGTCAGAGTTTATGCCTTTTGTATTTCAGAAGTATCTTAACACATCAGGTCAGAGCTGAGAAGGGAACACCGGGAGGAAAGCTGGCCAATGGTTTGGGGAAACTCTGGCTGGCTTTCTGTACACCCCATCTATCTCCCCAGGAGCGGTTTCAAGTCAAGAACCCACCTGCAGCCTACATCCAGAAGCTGAAGAGCTACCTGGATACCGGTGGGGTCAGCCGAAAGGTAGCAGCTGATTGGATGTCCAACCTGGGGGTATATACCTCCCCCTTTCTTCTGCTCCATTTCCCCTGTACCTTCCAAATAGCTGGAGTAGCTGTGTTTACAAACTTTTTTTGTGGGTTTGTATGAGTATATGTGTAAGTGTGTATGTGTGTATAATTTATTTATTGGTGACTGAATGCTCTGGTCAGGCACTTTTATAGACTCCTGTGTACATACTACATATACTTATGTGGGTATAGCTGCCTGTATTTGCTTTTTTAAAAATATTTTATTATTTTTATTTTATGTGTATGAGTGTATTGCCTGCATGTATGTGAGTGCACCCATGTCATGCAGAAGAGGACTTTGGATTCCCCTGGAACTGGAGTTAAGGATGGTTTGTAGCCACCATGTGGGTGCTGGGAATCAAGCCCAGGTCCTCTGCAAGAGGAGTCAGTGCTCTTCCACTGAGCCCTCTCTCCAGCCCCAGCTGCCTGTATTTATATTGTATGTGTACATATGTGCACCCTGTGTATCCATGCATGGATATATGTATATGGTAGGTGTGTACTTTTGGATCTCTAGGTTTATATTTATACTTATGTGTACTCCTGAATCTATGAATAGGGGATGAGGGAAGAGGGAGAGGGAAAAGGAGAGGGAAAGAGAGAGAGGGAGAGAGAGAGAGGGAGAGAGAGAGAGAATGTGTGGATCCCATGTATACCCTATGTGTATATATCCAGGGTGCTCTGTGTGGATGTGGATGTTTGTATTTGAATGTATGTGTGTGTGTGTGTGTGTGTGTTCCTTGTATGTCTGTGTAGGGATATGTGCATGTATATATGTACTGTATGTCTGTATGAAGGTATATGTGTGCACTCTGCTTCTTTACATGTATATACCTTGCATATGGCCTGCATGTTGTGTGTGTGTGTGTGTGTGTGTGTGTGTGTGTGTGTGTGTAGACGCATAGCCATGAGTGCTCATTCTGCTGACAGGTGTGCGGAGGTGGTGGGGGAGGCCCAACGTGAAAGGCCTTGCATGCATAGTGGGGGTGGACATTTCTGGCTGATGCCTCAGGACATGGAAGGCCTGTGGGAGGCTGCATTCCACCCATAGACTCCTTGTTTTTGGTCCCCAGTTTAAGAGGCGAGTTCAGGAGTCTACACAGGTGCTACGGGAGCTGGAGACCTCCCTGAGGACAAACCACATTGGGTGAGCCAGGGCTCCGATCTCCTCTTGTGGGCTTAGGAAAACTCTGCCTCCTGACAGTCTGTGGGGCTTCCTCTTCCAGTTCCTAGGCCCCCAGCATAGGGCTGGCCCTGTGGACCATTCCCCTCCTCCACCCTCTTCTCCTGCCTGTGCTGGGGTTAAACTTGAGCATATGGCTGGGCTGTGGATCCTGCCCTAGCTGACAGCATCTCCTAGCATCCCTGGGTCTCTTGAGGTTGACATTCTCTTCTGGGGCAAGGACACCCAAGAGCCTTTGCTTTTCCTACTCAGTGCCCACTTGGGCAGAATCACTTTCTGGTTGGAACTCAGAGTGCCTTGTGCTCTGCAGGTGGGTGCAGGAGTTCCTCAATGAGGAGAACCGTGGCCTGGATGTGCTCCTCGAGTACCTGGCTTTTGCCCAGTGCTCTGTCACGTAAGCTCCTGTCCCCAGTCCCCATGCTACTCCTCAGAGTTGTGACCCACACATCCCTGGGCCTCACCTACCCCTCTGGCCAGTTCCAAGCAGGATGACCTGAACCCTTCTCTTGAACCAGGACACTTGACCTTGGCCCTGGGCAATGATCCTTCTCGAAGGCCTGTTCTTGCCAAGAACTGACATTTCCTCTCCCCTCAATGTGCTCAGCATAGAGCCATGACCGAACACAGCCTCCCCCTCCTATCCCAGGCTCTCCAGTAGATTTATCTTGCCCTGCAGTTCCCTCTATCTGCTTCTTAAGTGTCCCCCACGTGCTGGCTTCCAAGCTTCTTACATCACATCTCCAGGTATGACATGGAAAGTACAGACAATGGGGCCTCCAGTTCAGAGAAAAGCAAGCCCCTGGAGCAGTCGGTGGAAGACCTCAGCAAGGGACCACCCTCATCTGTGCCCAAAAGTCGCCTGACCATCAAGTATGCAGGCCCCAAGATGGGATGTGGGAGACTGGAGAATTCATCCCCACGTTGCTGCATCTAGTCAGCCCCACCCAAGGCCCCCAGAGATGGTGGGAGGAGTTCCTGAGCATGGACCGGCTCAGAGTCAGGGCTTCAGGACACAAGTACATTAAGCCTTCAGATAGGGACACCTAATGGCTAGAATCTGGGGGGAGTCTGGGATAAGGCGAGGGTTTCTGGGTAGAAAGGATCCCTTTTGTATGCATCTAACCCCTTGTTTTTTCCCATGCGGACTCCAGGTGCCCCCCTTCTCCCCGGTACGTAGTCACCTGGGGGCGAGTGCATGCCTAGCCAAATCCTGTGGGGTGGTGGGTTGGAAGAGGTAGTCAGCTGATACTCCTGGGTTCAGCTGCTGTGGATTGGTCTCCTCATCCTAACACAGGGCATCCTGCTTGGAGGCAGGGAGGGGAGAAGGCGAAGATCTTGGAGCATCAGCTTCCAATGTTGGGTCTAGGGGACCAACTGTATATATATTAAGTCCCAAAGTCTCAAAAGATGTTTGTTTCTTTGTTCATTCATTTACTTCTCAAACATTTTTAAAGACACTTACTAAAGAGCACATACTATTAGGTATTATGGCAAGTGCCTACAAGACAGATCACTCTGCTTTTAGGGGACCCAGTCTGGTAGGAGGACGATTTAGTGTGACACATAGAGATGTGATCTGAATCTCTGAGAAGGGGGGTGCCTGCTTCCTGGAGCATCAGGAAGACTTCCCAGAAGAGGTGACACTGGAACTATGACAGAAGGACTGTGGCTTTATAGGCAGCAGTGGGAACAAGGAAGGGCATTCCAGGAGGAGGAACAACATGAACAAAGACTGTGACATATTTGAGCAATGATAGGAAAGGGTGATGTGGCAGGCATGGGGGAGGACTCACTGGGAAAGGAAGGGCTGGCCAGTGTTTTTAGAAGAAATGTAATAGGATTGTCAAAAGGCTCAGTATATGGAAGTCAAGTTTGGCAGTTCTGCAAAAATGAAAAATCTCATGTCTCTGTTGGTCAAGAACAATTACTAGGTGCTAGGTATGTTCAGAGCTTATCACACAATCTCAACAGCCCTTTAAAGAAAGTATTGTTGGGGCTGGGAAGATAGCTCAGGCAGTAAAATGCTTGCCATACAAGCACAAGAACCTGAGTTCAATCCCTGGCACCATGTAAAAAGTTGGGCGTAGTGTGCGCTTGTAGGGGAGGCAGAGTCAAGAAGACCCCTGGGGCTCACTGGCCAGCCAACCTAGCCTAATTGGCAAGTTCCAGGTCCAGTGAGAGACCCTGTCTCAAAAGAACAAGGTGGTGGGAGCTGGGGAGATTGCTCAGTGGATAGGGCACTTGCTGTGCAAGCAGGAGGACCTGAGTTTGGATTCCCTAGCACCCATGTGGAAACCAGGTACAGCGGCACGCACCTATGATCTCCATGCTGGAGAGACAGAGACAGGAGGATTTCTGGAACTTCCTGGCTACCCAGTCTAGTCACAATGGGAAGTCCTTGGTTCAGTGAGAGACCCTGTGTCGAAAACAAAGTAGAAAGCAATAGAGGAAGAAACATGATATCATCTCTCCTTTCCACACGCACACGAGTGCACCTACACATATACATGTATATCACACACTCACAAAACAAGGTGGGGTGCTCCTGAGGTGTGATGCTCATGATTGATTGGCCTTCACTTGTATACACATGAATACTATTGCTGGGTGTGGCAGTGCATTCCTGTGATGGGGTCAGCCTGGGTTACCTGAGACTTGGTCTCATTCTTGTCTCCCCACCCACCCAAAAAAAGGAAGTATTGTGGCCATTCTTTTTAAAAATGAGAAAAGTGAGGCATAGGGAGATTAAGTACTTTCCTACTAAGTAGTGAACTGGAATATTCTTAAACCTAGATGGTCTGCACCTGGGTGTGGTGGTGCACACCTGTAATCCCAGCACTTGGGAGGCAGAGGCAGTGGCAGTTGGAACATACTGAGTTCCAGACCTGCTGGGGCTACAGGGAGACCCTGTCTCAAAAAGACAAAAATAAAAACAAAAAACCTAGCCCATCTGCGGTCAGTCTGCTCTCAAGATGGAAGATGAGGGCCCAGTGGTTGTGAGCGCCACCTTGTGGAGACACTTGGGTGGTTGGCTGTTTCCAAACTTTGTTAATCTTTTTCTTTGGTGGGCTTTCCACCCTACATCACAGCTCTCCCCTTCCTTCTTCTCCCCTTCTCCTCCTCTTCCTCTTTCCAAGTACTGGAATTACAGGCATGCACCACCATACCTGGCTTGCAGCAGCCCTTTTAAATAACCCACCCTCACCACCTCCCTCCAGCATGCCTGGTTTTTTTGGTTGGATAGAAGGAAATCAGTGGCCTAAGGTTCTCGATGTGTCCCCCTCATTCCAAGAGCCATCTTACTGGTGGGGGAAGCAGGAAACTCGGATTTGGGGCTCTGAGCCTGTTGCCTCTTCTACACTGGCAGGCTCACCCCTGCCCATAGCAGGAAGGCCCTGAGGAATTCCCGCATCGTCAGCCAGAAGGACGATGTCCATGTGTGCATCATGTGTCTGCGAGCCATCATGAACTACCAGGTCAGTCAGCAGCACAGGATTGGGGTCCCAGGGGGCTGGCTTGTCCCCATGGGGCCTGTTCAAGCTGCTGAGGTTCTGGGCCATGTGTTGCCCTACCTTGGCCTGGAACTGGGAAAGCCTGGGGGTCTGGGCTATGGGAGTCCTGAGGCTGATGAGGGGAAATCCATGGTTTTGCTGTCTTCTTATCAGGTCTGCTGGAATGGCCCTTGGCATGGTTGGGGGCAAGCATAGGTCTCACATGGGGATTAAGTAGGGTTGGGTAATAGGGTCTGTGGAAGACAGGCTCAGCTGTGGTATTGGGAGGACCACTGGTGAAGTTCGATTCCTTTGCTTCATCAGCTGGCAGGTGTGTCCAGCTTGAGCCCTGAGGGTCACATGCAGCTGAGGAGGGTTATAGCTGCAGCCCAACACAAAGTTGGAAACTTCCATAAGATATGAGATTTTTTTGTGTGTATGTGATTTTTAAAATTTATTTATTGTTTTTGTGTGTATGGATGTATTGTCTGCATGGGTGTAAGTGCATCCATGTCATGCAATACTGAGGAGTTCAGAAGAGGGTGTCAGATCCCCTGGAACTGGAGTTATGGATGGTTGTTAGCTGCCATTGCGGTGCTGGAAATTGAACCTAGGTCCTCTGCAAGAGCTCTTAGGAGCCATTGCTCCAGCCTGGATTTTTTTTTTTTTTTTTTTTAGTAACTTCATTTTATGGTTCGCCAGGATCTACTTCATAAATGACAACTTTGTATATGTTCCTGTGTCAAAAGGTTGGACACATCTGCAAGGCATGTCCAGGGTATTTGGGACTGGCTTTTAAAAAGACAATTGAAGGCTGGGTGTGGTGGTGTATGCCTTTAATCCTAGCTAGCCCTCAGGAGGCTGAGGCAGGTAGTTCTCTGTGAGATCAAACCCAGTCTGGTCTATATAGTGAGTTCCAGGTCAGCTGAGACTACTGGAGACCATGTCTCAAAAAACAAATAAGACAATTTTAAAAATATTTTATTATTGTTATTTTAAAATATTTTATTTAATGTGTATGAGTGTACTGCCTGCATGTATGTAAGTGTACTCATGTCATGCAATGGCTTTAGAGGTCAGAAGAGGGTGTCAGATTCCCTGGAACTGGAGTTATAGTTATTAGCTGCCACATGGGTGTTGAGAATCGAACCCGGGTCCTCTGCTAGAGCAGCCAGTGCTCTTAACCACTGAGCCAACTCTCCAGATCCCCAATAAAATATTTTTAAAAGGACTTTTGCAGGGCGTGATGGCAGATACATTTAATCCCAGCACTCAGGAGGCAGAGGCTGTTGGATCTCTGTGAGTTTGAGGCCAACCTGGTCTACATAGTGAGTTCCAGTCCAGCTGGGACTACAGGAAGATCCTTTCTCAACTTTCTAAGAGTCAAGCATTAGAGACCTTCAGCATGCTTCAGACTCTGCTTGGGGTGCTAGTAGTCTTGGGGGCCTTCCTGGAGGTGCTGAACTCTCCTCTCTCCTTAGTCTGGCTTCAGCCTCGTTATGAACCACCCAGCCTGTGTCAATGAGATTGCTCTGAGCCTTAACAACAAGAACCCCAGGTGAGGTCCACACTCTTAACTGCTTTCTTGCCTCCCTCCTTGCCAACTTTGTCCCTTAGTCCTCAGGACTGCTGCCTAGGCTCACCCCACCTCAGTTCCCCTGATCTCTAGCCAGGCCCATGCCTACCCCATGCAGTGTCGGTTGCTCACCCTCTTCTCTCCACAGAACCAAGGCTCTGGTGCTGGAGCTGCTGGCAGCTGTGTGCCTGGTGCGGGGAGGACACGACATCATCCTTGCAGCTTTTGACAACTTCAAGGAGGTACTGGAGCCCCTATCCCCAAACCTAATGCCCCTCTGGCACTGCTTGGACTCTGGTTACCAGCAGCTGTGGCCTCTGATGGGGAAGTGGTGGACATTTGGGAAGCACAGTGGACAATCTGGGATGAGGTTCTAAACGAAAGGTACAGACAGGCAAGGTGACAGGCAGACTGCCTAGGGCGACAGGGACAGCTATAGGAATCTGAGTGTCAGACTCTTAGCCTGGCCAGTCCAGACATCCTGGGGTTGCCAACTCTAGTTAACAGGTTTGCAGGAGGTGGGTGCATAGGAATGTGGTAAATAAAACTGCATATGAATGGGGCTGGAGAGATGGCTTAGCAGTTATGAGCACTTGCTACAAAATCATGAGGATCTGAGTTTAGATCCCAGCACTCATGTAACAAGCTTGGGTGCACTGTATATGCCTATAACCTCAGGTCTGAGGGAGGCAGAGACAGGAGGATTGCTGGGGCTTGCTGGCTTCTAGCCTAGTTGAGGAACCATGAACCCTAGGTTCCTCAAAGGAATAGACAGAGAGTAATAGAGGACACCCCATGCCCTCTTCTGGTCTCTACACATGCACATAAGCCAGTGCAATGCCCTCCCGTGCCATGTGCATATTCACAGACACACATCAATCAATCTACCTTTAAAGCTGGAAATGAGCCAGACCTGTTGGCATAGGCTTGTAATCCCAGCATCTGGGAAATAAAACCAGGAGGCTAAGGAGTCCAGGGTCATCATTGGCTACATAGTGAGTTCAAGACCAGCCTGGGCTATTTGAGACCTTGTCTCAAAAAAAGAAAAGAAAAGGCCGGGCGTGGTGGCACACGCTTTTAATCCCAGCACTCAGGAGGCAGAGGTAGGCAGATCTCTGTGAGTTCGAGGCCAGCCTGGTCTCCATGCTGAATCCAGGACAGCTGGGGCTACAGGGAGACCCTGTCTCAAATGAAGACTTGGGTCCCAGAACCCACATAAAAAATTCAGGTTTGAGCCAGGCGTGGTGGTGCACGCCTTTAATCCCAGCACTCGGAAGGCAGAGGCAGGTGGATCTCTGTGAGTTCAAGTCCATCTGTGAGTTCAAGGCCAGCCTGGTCTACATAGTGAGTTCCAGGACAGCTGGGGCTACAGGGAGACCCTGTCTCAAAAGACCAAAAAAAATTCAGTTTTGGTGGCATGTGTCTGTAATCCCAGCACTGGGGAGGCAGAGACATGCCGATCCCTGGAGATCACTGGCCAGCCAGCCTAGCCTACTTGGCAAGCTTCAGGCCAATGAGACTCTGTCTCAAAAAACAAGGTGGATGGATCCTGAGGAGTGACACCTGAAGTTGGCCTTTGGCTTCCACATATGTGCATGTACATGCACACACCCACACTAAAAATGTAGAGCAGATGATAAATGAGCAAATTATGTAGTATATTAGAAAATGCTAAATGTTATGGGGAAAAGAGTTAGGAATGCCACAGGAGGGAGAACTGGTTGTAGGATGGTCAGGGAAGGCAAGTGAGACTTGATTGGGCAAATCTATGAGGCAGGTAAGGGACTGGGTATGGTTACTGTCTTTATGAATACATAAGGGAAATGGAAAAGCAAGTGCAAAGACCCCAAAGTGGGAAGGCTCTGCATACATGGTGAGTGGCCAAAGTTGAGTAAGTGGGTGAGACTGAGAGTTGTTTGGAGCAGAAAAGTCACATGGCCTGCTTTAGATATAATTGGAGAGGAACTTTTAGAGACATCAGTGTAGCAGTCAAAAAATGGCTCAGGAGGTGTGTAACTGGGTCCTCAGTAAGCACCATATCCCCCACCCAGGTGTGCGGAGAGCAACACCGCTTTGAAAAGCTCATGGAATATTTCCGGAATGAGGACAGCAACATTGACTTCATGGTGAGCTTCAAACCCTGGGGACTGAGGCTTAGTCTGGGCTCTGATGGGTGCAGGGGGGCAGCTGAGGGTCTGGGTGGCTGGACTCTGGGCTTTGCTCGAGCATAGAGAGCCATAGGTTTGCTGGTGTCCCTGACCACCAGGTGGCTTGCATGCAATTCATCAACATTGTGGTTCACTCGGTGGAGAACATGAACTTCCGTGTCTTCTTGCAATATGAGTTCACGCACTTGGGTCTGGATCTATACTTAGAGGTGAGCCCTGCATCCCACCTTGACTAAACTACCCACCCACTGTGAGTATGGTCATGTAGTTAGCAGATCTTGAGTTCAAATCCTGACTCTGAGGCCAGGCTTGGTGGTTTTGGGAGGCAGGAGGATCTCAAGTTCAAGTTCAGTCTGGGCTATAGTAGGACACTATCTCAGAAATAACAACAACCTCCACATTCCACAAACAAACAGAATCCTGGCTCTGCCACTTCCTAGCTCTGTGACCTTGTACATGTCCATTCTTCCTTCTAAGTCTGTCTTCCTATTTGTCAATCACAGAGGTAATAATGACTCTAAATGTGAGGAACAGTGCCTGATATAGGATAGGTGTTTAGTGTAGCAGCTGTCATTGTAGGCACTGGAACAGGTTCAGGTGGCCCTGGGTCTGCCTCTGGGAGTACCAGCTGTGCCAGGTGCCTGTAATTCCAGTTCCATCAGGGGACCTGATGCCCTCTCCTGGCCTCTGAAGGCACCTATACTTCTGTTGTGTACTTAACATATACATGAAAAGGCCAAATATTATATGACCGTTAAAAAACATGAAATATCTCTAGGTGTGTGGTGCATGCCTTTAATCCCAGCACCTAGGAGGCAGAGGCAGGCAGATCTCTGTGAGTTCAAGGCCAGCCTGATATACATTGCAAATTCCAGCCCAGCCAGGGCTACATAGTGAGCCCCTGTCTCAAACAACAACAACAACAACAACAACAAAAGACCCCATAAAACAAAGAAGGAAAGAAAGAAAGAAAGAAAGAAAGAGAAAGAAAGAGAAAAAAAGGTCAAGAATGGCTAATCCAGTAGGGACAGAAAGTAGATTCCTGGTTGCCAGGAACTGGGGAGGAGAAAGGGAAAAGAAACCTTAATGGCCCCAATGGGCATAGGGTTTCTTTCCAGGATGATGAAGAGAATTCTGGAATCAGAATATCTTAAAACAGTGAATTGTATGGTATGTGAAATATATCAATAAAAATTAAAAAAAAAAGAAAAGAAAAGCCATCTAGGGCTTAGGTTCCTTCTTCTGGGCCCTAGTAGTGGTAGTGGTTGGGGGACCCCCGCCCTCCTCCCCACCTCAGGCCTCACCAGGCTGCTCCTGTCTGGGGATAGAGGCTCCGGCTCACCGAGAGTGACAAGCTGCAGGTGCAGATCCAGGCATACCTGGACAATGTTTTTGATGTGGGAACACTGCTGGAGGACACGGAGACCAAGAATGCAGTGTTGGAGCACATGGAGGAGCTACAGGAGCAGGTGGCACTGGTGAGAGCTGGTCCCAACTAGCCCAGTACACAGTAGGCCTACAGAAAAGCTTTCACAGGGCTCTACTTGTGCAGGCACTGAATAGCAGACAGTGTTCTGGCTGTGAATTGGAGGTAGCTGTCTGCCTGGCCCCCAAATTTGCCCTAAATCCAAATCTAGAATCCTTTGGGTGTCTTTCTCAATGAGTCTTTCTTGTGCTCCCACGCTGTGTGGGATTTGTGCGCAAGGCAGGTCCCTCCTCCAGGGATGCTCAGATCACAAGCTCTGACTCTGGTGAACGGGGTCCTGGGGTCCCTCCCAGCATAGTCTCCTCCCTACCACCTTTCCTCGCAGCGGTGCCTTGTTTTCCCCTCCTCATTTATTTGGGTTCAGGTGCCAGGCTCAGCCCACCCTTGGCACGCTGGGCCAAGCGGATGTGGGAGCCTCCCCCAGCCCTCTGAGCAGGCTTGCCTGATGCCACCCCCTCACTGGTGGTGCCAGTGCCTGGCAGCGGGTGGTAGCTCACCATGTGCTGGTGCCACAGCTGACAGAGCGGCTTCGGGACGCGGAGAACGAATCCATGGCCAAGATCGCTGAACTGGAGAAGCAACTAAGTCAGGCCCGCAAGGAACTGGAGACCCTTAGGGTGAGCTGGGGGTGTGGGCCGGTCCGGGCTTCTGAGGACACCCGCGGGGGCTCCTGACATCTTCCATAAGAGGATGTGTGTGTGTGTGTGTGTGTGTGTGTGTGTGTGTGTGTGTGTTGTCGGGCAGTGTTCTATGCCAGAGAGCTTGCGAGTGGGTCCCAATCCTTTTTCTGGGGCTCACAGGAGCGCTACAGCGAGTCGACCTCCATGGGCACCTCCAGACACACCCCTGAGCCTGAGAAAGTGCCTGCCCCCACCCCGGTACGACCTTCTGCTCTAGAGCTGAAAGTGGAGGAGCTGGAGGAGAAGGGGTTAATCCGCATCCTGCGGGGACCGGGAGATGTGGTCTCCATCGAGATCCTCCCAGGCGCCATGGCGACACCCAGCGGCGATGCTCCCACTCCGAAGGTGCCCACTGGCTCCCCTAGCCCAGGTGCGCTGGAGCTTCATGCTGGGGGAGGGAGACCCGAGCCGGGGGGGTGGAGGATGGGGTATCCCAGGAATATACGTGGCTGGGAGAGGCCAGAGCAGGAGGTCTGGATTGTGGCTGTGACACAGGTAGGCGCAGATGTGTTGAAGCGGGTTCTGGACGCATGCCTAGGGCAGGGAGGTGGAGAGGAACCCCTGCCCCAAACCAAGAAGTTGACATGCCCGTCCCACACCCTCCCTGGGTTCAGATCTCCCACCTGCAGCAGAATCAGTTCCTGGAGCTGCATCACCTCTACCACAGCCGCCGCCGCCGCCCCCGCTACCCAGCCTCGCGTCCCATCAGGAAGCCCCTCCTTCGGCGCCCCCGCTGGCCCCACCCCTCCCAGGCAGCCCTGAGCCTCCACCCGTACCACCATTGCCCGAAGACCTGCCGCCACCCCCACCTCCGCCGCCCCCACTTGGTACTGATGGGCCTGTGCCACCGCCACCCCCACCACCTCCGGGAGGTGCCCCTGATACCGTTGGAGGACTCGGCCAAGAGATGGGCCCAGGTGGGTGGAGTAGACAATCTCAGACCTACTAGGGCTCGGGGAGAAGTGGAGCAGGGCTGGCTTTGGTGTCCTCTGCCTGGGAGTCTCCTACCTCCCGCCTGTCTTGGGTTAGGCGCCCACTGCTCATCCCTTCCTCCTGATTCCAGGAGTGAAGGCCAAGAAACCCATCCAGACCAAGTTCCGGATGCCACTCCTGAACTGGGTGGCTCTGAAACCCAGCCAGATTACAGGCACTGTCTTCACAGAGCTCAATGATGAGAAGGTGCTTCAGGTGAGTGGGTACCAGAGCCGGGCTCCGGGACCATCGGGGTGAGCGTCTCCTCCACCCGGTTTTGCAGGTGAGGATGTGGAAGCCTAGGGATGGGCTTTAAGACGCTGGATTGGTACATCGAGAAAGCAATAGCCTGACTCCCCTGCAGGTTTTCCTTGCCCCTAAGTGTGGCCTCTCCTTTCTGCCCATTTCCCAGATAACTAAGGTCTTGGGTCCTTCTGATTTGTTTCATTTTTTTCTCCAGAAGGAATGAGTTTCCTATCCTTCCAGGCCGTTGCTCACACTTTTTTTCTGCTTGGAATAGCCTTCCCTTTCCCTTTTTACTAATGGCTGGTTCAGCCCCTCCTTCAGCTTCTGTGGCCAAGATTCTGGGTCCCCTGGGTTGGGTCCTTTTCTAACACAAGTTTCTTGTGTTTCCTCTATCTCTCATCAAGGCCTGTAGTCATGTTAGTTCACTGGTTTGTCTATCCACTGATGGGCCTGTCAAAGTCAAATTAATGACTAAGGTCAAACACTGTAGCTCTGGGCACAGTGTTGAGCCAGGAGTGTGGCAGACCTCAGCCCCACTCAGGTCCCCAAATTCTCTCCCTGCACCCTCAGGAACTAGACATGAATGACTTTGAGGAACATTTCAAGACCAAGTCACAAGGTCCCAGTCTGGACCTCAGTGCTCTCAAGGGCAAGGCAGCCCAGAAGGCTCCCACCAAGGCAACACTCATTGAGGCCAACAGGGCCAAGAACTTGGCCATCACCTTGCGCAAGGGCAACCTAGGGGCAGACCGCATCTGCCAGGCCATTGAGACGTGAGTATCTGTCCTAGGGTGTGGTCATCATGCAGAGCTTGGTAAGAGTCCTATCTATGGGATAGAGCCCACCCAACTCCATGCCAGTTCTGGACAGAGAACATTGTCCTCATTTTCAGGCCAAGAAAACTGAGATTATATTAAGTCCATGGTCAGACTGGGACATCTCCATTTTGTTCCTGCTTCTACCCAGAATGGGTGCTCAGGCTGAAAGAGTTACAGCTGGGCACCTGCCATTTTATGATAGGACTAGGACTTCCCAGTTTCCCTTGACTCCTACCTCTTGTTCTTGGGAGCGGTCTATAAATACCAAATACCAATCAGAGGAGGGGGGTGTAATCTTGCTCTCTGGGATTGGTGTGTGGTGACGCTCACCCTCTGGTCTCCCTGCAGGTACGACCTACAGACTCTCAGCCTGGATTTCTTGGAGCTGTTGACCCGCTTCCTGCCCACAGAATATGAACGCAGCCTCATTGCCCGATTTGAGCAGGAACAGAGACTGATAGAGGAGCTGTCAGAGGAGGACCGCTTCATGTTGCGCTTCAGCCGTATCCAGAGACTGCCAGAGCGCATGAACACTCTCATCTTCCTGGGCAACTTTTCTGACACAGCGCAGCTACTCATGCCGGTGTGGGCGGGGCGGGCAGGGTGGTGTGGTAGAGCCTGGGCTAGGGGGAGGGAGGAGGCATCTCCCAAGCCCAACTTGCAAGAAGGCACCTGGGAGTACTGTTAGGGGAGGGTTAGCTTACCTCATCTTCCTATCCCACACCTAGCAACTGAATGCCATCATTGCAGCCTCAATGTCCATCAAGTCCTCTGACAAACTGCGCCAGATCCTGGAGGTAAGAGCCTTGGGCCAGGGCACAGAAGACAGGGTCCACCTTTGCCCATTCTACATAGTATAAAAGGAAGATTCAGGACCATCTATTTGGGATACAGCAGAGATCGTGTTCCCCAAACATGCACTGACAGGCAAGCTAAGGTGGGGCAGCCATGCTTGTAACAGTACACCTGAGATCCTGCCAGGGGCTCAGCCCCTCTGGAGATTGTTGTATGAGTGGCACAGTCACTGCACCTGTGGAGTGCAGTGGAGTGTCTGGGGACCAGAAGAAATGGCTTTCAGGAGATTGAGGAGGGGATGCTGACAAGCCAATTTTGGGTGTGCTCATAGTGTTAATAGTGAACACATGTAAGATATTACATACAAACTCCATGTGATATGGAACTGAAGGGTCCATTCAGAAGGGCCAAGTGTACTGGCTGGCTTCTTGCCACCTTTTCTCTTTCCTGAGCAATATATACTCTAGGGGGGTTTCTCTAGGCCTGGCACCTTGTTGAGTCTTTGCTTCTTTCAGATTGTTCTGGCTTTTGGCAACTACATGAACAGTAGCAAGCGTGGGGCAGCCTATGGTTTCCGACTTCAGAGTCTAGATGCGGTGAGAAGCGGGGCTCTTGGCCTGGGGCCTGGGGGCTGGTTGGTGGCCTGTGACTTAGAACAGATCCCTTGTACAGTTGTTGGAGATGAAGTCAACTGATCGAAAACAGACACTGCTGCACTACCTAGTGAAGGTCATTGCTGAGAAGTACCCGCAGCTCACAGGCTTCCACAGCGACCTGCACTTCCTGGACAAGGCAGGCTCAGGTATAGGATGCCAGGGCCTTAGGTGAGGGCAAGGGGCTCAATTCTTGGGCCACTGGGCTGATATGGGGTGGGAGAAAGCAAGGGGCACCATAGTATATAGCTGGATGTGTGTTCTGTCTATCCCAGTGTCCCTGGACAGTGTCCTGGGGGATGTGCGCTCCCTGCAGCGAGGCCTGGAGTTGACACAGCGGGAGTTTGTAAGGCAGGATGACTGCATGGTGCTCAAGGAGTTCCTGAAGACTAATTCGCCCACCATGGACAAACTGCTGGCAGACAGCAAAACAGCTCAGGTAGGCTGAGGGATGAAGGTGCACTAGGCACTGGAGCCCCTGGTGGGGATATGTAGCCAAGGCCTGGAGGGGTGTGGCCATAGGTGGGACCCCTGGACGATGGAACATGAATAAGCCCCTCCCACCTGCAAGAGTGTCCTGAGGGCCACAGAGTATGGTCAAACTCCAGGGGGCCCATGCTAGTGGAGCTGATGAGATTGTGCTTCCAGGAGGCCTATGAATCTGTGGTGGAGTACTTTGGAGAAAATCCCAAGACCACATCCCCCTCCATGTTTTTTTCCCTCTTCAGCCGATTCACAAAGGCCTATAAGGTATGAGTATCTGATGGGTGGGGTGCAGATCCTATATGCTCTCTATGAGCAGTGGGAGGGGTGGGGGCTGCTTCCGTCTCAGGTGGGTTGGGAAGGCGAGAAAGGGCTTTCATCACCAAGACCTACCTGCCTTGTACCTATAGAAAGCTGAACAAGATGTGGAACAGTGGAAGAAGGAAGCAGCTGCCCAGGAAGTGGGTGCTGACACCCCAGGCAGGGGAGAGCCCCCAACACCCAAGGTAGGCAGCTGACCCCCAGCCTGGTACTGGGGTACAGGAATGTGTAGCATCCCTTTCATTCTTTCCTACCACTCCCACACTTTCAGTGTAAGAGACAGATCCTGCCCAAGGACAGGGACAGTTCTAGAAGCCAGGAGAGGAAGTGGCTTGCTTCTGCTCTAGCCTGCTGTCCTTGCTGTGAGCAACCACACAGATGTTTGAGAGTGGATGGGGGTGATAAGGATCCTAAAGTTGGAGTTGTTCCTCTCCCTAGTCTCCTTCCAAGGCCAGGCAACAACAGATGGACCTCATCTCTGAGCTGAAACGGAAGCAGCAGAAAGAGCCACTCATCTATGAGAGTGACAGAGATGGAGCCATTGAAGACATCATCACAGGTGAGGACTTCGCCAGGTCTCTGTCCTGTCTTCAGCCTGTGCTGTTCTCTTTTTTTTTTTTTTTTTTTTTT